AGTGTGGGAAAACGGGATTAGTGTGGGAAAACGGGATTAGTGTGGGAGGTAGTGTATTTTTGACAGTACGGAACAGATGGGCTGAAGAGTCTCCTCTGTGCTGTATGATTCTATGAGCACCTCATCTTTCAGTTAGGCACTTTACAACCTTGCAGCAGATTTTAAAAAATTGCAGAGCACACACTCCATCCTCCCCATTGTTTGCCTTGATTTACATGTCTTGTTTTTTCTCTTATTTTAATTTGTATTGCCAGACTGACATTTCAGGCTTGTTCAAGTGTGATAGGTTTTTTTGCATTAACACAAATACTTTGGTTGTTACAAACCTGTGCTTGTTCAAAATGAAAGATTCAACTTGAAAGAATGCCATAGGAAGATGATGCATTATCCCACACAGAGATAAACTGATATAATCAACTTGGTTGTTCATGAGCACCTCTAAAAGCCTCTCAGAGATCTAGAGGAGTATTCATTATTTTGTTGAAAGGGCACGTCATTTAAGTGAGGAAAAGTAAGGAGTGCAAGAGAACAGGAAGATATTATAGCACGGAACGAACAAAATTCAAAAAGAGATGCTTCAATCGATTCCAAATAGTTAATGACAAGTGACTACATTGTTACTGAGACATTATGTATTTGGGAACAAAAGAGCTTACTCACCTTCCAAAGTTTGCTGGCAAAAAATCCAAAAAGGCATCATTTAGGTAAAGTTGAGTCAAGTTTAGTAACTGTGTGAAGCCATCAGGAAGCCTTAGAAGGGAAGGGAAAGAAGTGGAAAACTGGTCAATACTGTTGCAAGTTTCTAAAATATTCATACAAGATTAGACAATATTTCATGCAAACATTTTTCAACAAAAAATGATAAACAAAAATGATGCAGCTACATTTTCTTTAGTTCTGATGATCTGTCTCAAGGTTCTGGGATAACCCTATTAGATGCTTGGTATTGTTCCTTTCTATTTCCTTTTTCAAACTCTTTCAAAGGAAGTGGGTAATGCTGACTTGGCCAGCATTTACTGGCCATCCCTATTTGCCCTTGAGGGGGTTGCGATGAGCTGCTATCTTGGACTGTAGCAGTCCATAGGGTGAGGGGATGGTAGTATACCCTGTGCTATTAAGAAAGGAGCGTTTAAGCGTGGATTTGTCTTTTCTGATAAGCTGAAGCCAGTCTGAGAGACCTTCAACCAGTATTTTTTCTGAAAGCAGTATTTATTTACACTATATACATGCAAGAAACATCTCTGTCCTAAGCTACTCAAGTTCCAACCTGCTAACAGAGTCTGTCACATGATAACCAAGGTCACCGTTGCATCACAGCATGCCTCAGAAGCTCATTCTTTGCCTTATCAGGATTTCGACCCAACAACAGTGAAGCAATGACAATATAGTTCCAAGTCAGGACAGCATGTGGCTCAGAGAGGGAGCTTACAGGTAGTGATGTTCCCATATGCCTTTGTGGTCCTTAAACTTCCAGGTGGCAGAGTTTATGGACTTGGAAGCAGATTTTGAAGGAATGTTGGCGAGTTATTTCATCCTGTTTGAAATCTCAACTGAAACCGGGCGGAATCTGACTTGGAATAGTACAGGCACTGAAACATGCCACTACTTGATGCAGCAAAGTTTCAACTCAAGCATGTTACCGATGAAAGCAGGTGACTGAATATTGTCCATAAGACTGGAAAGGAGAATGTTAGCCAAAATCAATAAGAATCATTCCAAATTTTGGGTCACTGAGCCATGAAGTTAGGCCATTTAAAGCAACTAAAGACAGGAATTCCATGTCAGGTTATTTACATTTCAAAATGGGATATAGAGTTACTTCAAAACAGGTCTTGCTTCAGTTCACAACATGATAATAGGATCCTCAGTGTGGAAAAAGACCATTCATCTCATTGAATCTACATCAACCCTCTGAAGAGCATCCCACCCACACCCACCTCCCCTACTCTATTCCTGTCACCCTGCATTTCCCATTGCTAAGGGTTCTGATCGAATGTCACTGGACCCGAAACGATAACTTTTTTTTTCATAGATGCTGTAAGACCTGCTGAGCTTCTCCAGCAACTTTCTTTTTGTTTCCCACAGCTAATCCACTCAGCCTGCACACCCATGGACACTATGGGCAATTTAACAAGGTCAATCCACCTAACCTGCACATCTTTGATGAAACTGATAATTCTCCACAGACCACACCCCAATACCAATCAATCAAATAAGGTTTGCCGAATGCTGTTTTCTCCTCCCCACCTCAAAAAGACCTTGCAATTTCGAAAATAACCACGAGTGACTAAGTGAAGTGAATTCCAATTCATTTGAAACATTAGGAAAGAGAGTTCCATTAGACAATGATCAAAGAACAACAACGGTCCCTGTTAGAGTTAAAAAATAAAGCAGCCATTTGGGTGAGATAATTGTCATTTCCTCATTTCAAAATATACTCGTCTGGGCCATGAATGGATTAACAGCACAGAACAAGTCACTTGCCTTACTTTCACTAATTTAAATCTAATAGCATGATCGAGCCATTCACAGACTGTCCTGTAATTTCCTTATCTCTCAACTATTTCTTCAATTTCCATTTCAACAATGGATGGCACATTGGCTCAGTGGTTAGCACTGCTGCCTCACAGCGCTAGGGACCTGGGTTCGATTCCACCGTCGGCTGACTGTCTGTGTGAAGTTTGTACATTCTCCCCTTGTCGACATGGGTTTCCTCTGGTTGCTCCAGTTTCCATCCACAGTCCAAAGACGTGCAGGTTAGGTAGATTGGCTGTGGTTAATGCAGGGACGGGGTAGGCGGCCGGATCTGGGTGGGACATTCTTCGAATGGTCGGTGTGGACTTGATGGGCTGAATGATCACATTCCACACTGTATGGATTCTATGATTCTATGAATGCAGCAATGGTTTCTGTATGAACCACACCCTTTGGCATAGCATGCTATGTTCCAACAACTCTCTCCCTGAGGAAATTTCTCCACACTTTAGCATATTATTGAGCCCTTTATCACTGGATTCAATCCAGAGGATAAAGTCTTACATTATATTAAAAACTTTTCATTGAATCCCTTAGAACATATCAATCAGGAATAGGCCATTCGGCCCCTTGACAAAATCATAGCTGATCAGATAGCAGTCTCAACTCTACTTTCCTGGCTGCTTTGACTCCCTTGTTAAGTCTTGTACTCTGTACAAGTTTCTAAACAGGATTTTCCCCAGCACACTGCTTATTATTAATTCCTCAACAAATGTCACTAAAACAGACCGCTCCATCATTCTTTTATAAAGGTCAATCATCCATGAGATCTTTCAACAAATTAACACATCAGAAATTAATGTGTAAATTTAAAGCACGTGCAATTAGGGGCAACGTACGGAAATTCAAAGAAAACTGCTTGGCAGACAGGAAACAGACGTTTTTAAAACAGGTCTTTTTTCTGAACAATGGGCAGTGGCTAATGAGGCACCGCAGGCATCAATGCTACGACCCCAGCAATTCACAATACATAGTAATGATTTAGACGAGGTAACTAAATGTAATATCTCCATGGCTGCAGGTAGCACAAAACTGGGTGGGAATGTGAGCTGTGAGGAGGATGCAGAGTGCTTCAATGAGATTTGGACAAACTGAGTGGGAAATTACACAGTAGGTGCAGCATTATGTGGATAAATGTGAGGTTACCTACTTTGGGAGCAAAAACAGAAATGCGGATTATTATCTGAATGGCTATAAACTGAAACAGGGAAATGTCTAACAAGACCTGGGTGTCCTTGAACACCAGTCATTGAAGGTAAGCATCCAGGTGCAGCAGATGGTCAAGAAGGCAAGTAATATGTTGGCCTTCATAGCAGAGGATTCGAGCACAGGAGCAGGGATGTCTTGCTGCAATTATATTGGGCCTTGACGAGTCTATACCTGGAGTATTGTGTACATCTATGGTCTCCTTATCTGAGGAACAATGTTCTTGCTACACAGTGATGTGGCAAAGGTTTACCAGGCTGATTTGAGATAGCAGATGTATGAGGCGAGGTTAAATCGGTTAGGATTGCATTCACTAGAGCTCTGAAGAATTGGGGAGCGTGGTAGGGGGTGGAATCTCATAGAAATCTAAATAACTCTAAGGGTGAGACAGGGTTGATGTGGGAAGGATGTTCCTGATGACGGGAGAATCCAAAACCAGGGTCACAGTCTAAGGATATGGGACAAACCACTTACGACTGAGACGAGGAGAAATTTCTTCAATTCACTACCGTATAAAGCAACTGAGCCAAAACATTGCATGATTTTAAGAAGGAGCTGGAATGAGCAATTGGGGTTAAAGAGATCGAACAATATTAGAGAAAAACAAGAAGAGACTACTGTGTTGTTGATTGACCTTGATCATAAGGAACAACAGAACTGGCTCAAAGGGCTGAATGACCTACACATACTCCTGTTTTCAGCCCTCAAGGTCACCTTTTCAACAAATGCAGCAAAATGGTAAATGTGCCCCCAGGCACTTTCAGGGTTTCAATGCCATGGGAAAGAAAGGACATCAACAGGTTATGAAGAAACTGCAAGTGGTGATGTTCCATGCTCCTGCTTGCCCTGTCTTTCTAGGTGGTAGAAGTTTCTAGGTTTTTTAGCTGTTGCGAAAGGAGCCTTGGCATGCTGCAGCAGGTGGTACGCACTGCTGTAATGTGTCAGGGGTGAACAGAGAGCTGGATGGCATACCAATCAAGTGAATGATCATGTCATGGAGGAATCATTGGATGTTGCTTAGGCTGCACTTGTCCAGGCAAGTGGAAAGCATTTCTATTTCCTGGCAAGTAGGTAGTGGAAAGGTTTTGGGGAGCCCTGCAACTCAATCTCCACTAAATACCCAGCCTCTAAACTGCTCTTTGAACTTGACCAACCACTGGTTCCAGGTCTTGTGGATAGCAACCCCTAGAATGTTGATGGTCGGGATTCAGCAATGTTAACGTCAAGGGTGGTGATTAGATTCTTTGACTGCATGATCATTGCCAGGCATTTGTGTGTTGCAAATGTTGCTTATCCCTCACCAACATAAACCTGGATGCTGTGCAGGTTATGCAGTATGTACCGATATCTTAAGAAGTCAGAACAGTACCAATTTAGAGAAAATTCATTCATGCGATGAAGCCACTGGCAAGACCAGCCCTTCACTAATTGCCCAGAAGGCAGTTAAGAGTCAACCACATTGCGGTGGGTCTAGTGTCATGTGTAAGCCAGATGAGGTAAGGATGACAATTTCCTTCCTTAAAGGACATTAATGAAATAGATGGGTTTGACAAGGGATTCATTGTTACCTTAGACTCTTAATTTCAGAATGTTTTTGAACTCAAGTTCCACAATGTGCCGTGGTGACATTCAAACTCAGGTCCTCAGAACATAAGCAGAGTCTCTGAATTAACAGTCTGGCAATAAGAGCTCAACTGTTGAATTGCACTCATCAGCAGACACTCATTCTTGTGATCTTCTGATGAAGGTAAGATCAATAATGAAACAGCTAGGGAATTGCCCGAGGAAACTGTGGCACCATATCCTTGGGCTTAGGTGACTGGCCTCCAACAACCATAGCTATTTCTTTTGTTCATCATATTGCTGCTTGTAAACTGGTTGAATGCAAGTAGCCAGCCATGTTACCATAGTGACGACATTTTAGAAAAGCACTTAATTCGCTGAGCAGCACTTTGGAATTTTCTGAGGTCATAAACAAAGTTAGGCAAACGCACAACCTTCCTTGATAC